AACTACCTTGTTTAGTATTGTTATAGAAATTTTTTATAGGCTATTCACCCCCTCAAGCCAATTAATACCTTTCAGAAGGGTGTGTTCGTCTCTGGGCAGGGTGGAGGGTGGGGAGGAAGAAGACCGAGAGCACGGTGGAGCAGAGGATCCTGTGAACTCGGGATGAATGATTGGGTAGATTTTTATCTAGACTCAACGTATAAAAGTTGCACTGTGACTAATGGTTTCTTAGCACAGCATCGTTGGATATATATATAGAAACCACTCTTAGTTTTTGCGTTGGGAGTGCCCCGAAGAGAAGAAAATTGAGGCGTTGCATGTATTGACGTTGGGTCAACGGTGGACAACACGGGACCCTAGATGATGCATTGCATGATAGTCGATAAATTCTCACACAAGGAGCTGGGCACAAAGCCGTGCATGGTGCTTGCTTGCATTTGGTGTGTGCGTGGTGCAGTGTGTTGCTGCATGCATGGGCATTGCGGGGATGAAGGACTCATTTGGTAGAGCTCCGGCTCCAGCCAAAACAACTTCAGTTATGGCTTCACCTGTAGAGTAGGATCACTTTATGAGCTGAAGCTGTTTTTTTACTATTCGACAAAACAGCTTCTCTTTCTGGTTAAAAAAGACGAAAGGGTCAAAATACCCTTTGTTTCTTTTTTTTTACTTTCTTTTTTTCCTTTATTTATTTATTATTTCTCTCCCTACCTTATCGCATCTTTTTTCTTTTTATACCTTTTCTTTTTTCTTTTTTTTCTTTACCTTTCCTTTCTCTTCTTTTTTCCTACCTTATCCGTCGCTCGTAGTCCAACCGACGCGAGAGACGCGACCTCGTCTTCTACCTCCGGTCGCCACACGCCCACCGACCCCCGCACCTGGGGTTGTCGGGCGACCCGCTCTCCCACGACCCCCAGCGAGCCCCTCCTCTACCTCCGGACGCCGCATGCCATCTCGCCGCCGCCCGCACCTGGGATCCCCCGGCGACCTGCGCTCTCGCAACCCCCGGCGTCCGGCGCTCCCGCGACCCACGGCGACCGGCGCTCACGCGGTGGCGGGCCCCGGTGACCAGCGCTCGCTCAGTGGTGGCCTTCGGTGACCCTACGCCTGCTCGGCCAGTGGGAGCAAATCTGCCCATCGTCCTGTGCTTGGACCCACAGCAGGTGACGGAGCCGGGCGAAGCTAGTTTTTCTGGCTCCATCTCTCTCTCCCCTCTCCTCTCAGCGCCTTTTCCGGGGCTCCGCGCGAGGAGCGCCTCCATTTTTTGCCGTTTGGTTGCGAGAGCTGAAAAACAACTCAAGAATCCATACCAAACGGCCCGAACATGTGTGTGTGCAGGACTGCCGTGTGGTGTGCTAGCTAGTGAAATGTCACACTAGCATAGACGGGTGGCAGCAGCACAGGCTACATCAACAGTGGCAGCAGGAGCACAGCGGCGAGCAGCAGCATGTCATGCGTGTTTTGGTCTTTGGTTCACACGGACGGACACGGCTGTTTAGGAGCTGCAGAGCTGCAACCGGTCTTGGAAGTCAAGGTGTGCAGGACGCGTGGCAGCTGAGTAGTTTATTGGGAGCCGAGAAGAGAGTTCACAAAGGTGGCTTCACATTAATTGCTCTGTTCACTTGGCTGATAAGCTATGACTGAAAGTATTGTTGGCTGATTTATCGTGAGAGAAAAATACTGTCCGTTAGCTGAAAAAATATGGCTTATAAGCCAAACGAACATAGCATTAGTGGTGTGCAGGCAAAGACATGGCTGACACGGTCCAATAAATCAGGAGCAGTGGGGCTGGTTCGGTGCATCGCAAGACAGCAAAAACCAGAGAGCAAAGCTTGCCAAAAGTATTTGGTAGTGAGAGCTAGGTGGTTTGCATGGGTAAGAGCTAGCAGGCTCAGCTCGTTGGGAGTGCTCGAGGTGATCATCAGCAAGCAGTCTGGCGACCGGCGAGGAAACGCCGGTTGGAGCAGACGCCAGGAAGGAGATCCCGGAGAAAGTCGATCTACTTGAGTCGGTTGAGGCGGGCGGATCGGGCGGTGAGATCGTCAAGAAATCGATCAAATCGTGGGTCGGCAGGATGGCACCGACAGGTACCGGATTTGAGGTGGTGAAGTTTGATGGCAGCGACAACTTCTCTCTGTGGCAAACAAGGGTCAAGGATTTGCTGGCTCAGCAAGGGGTCCTGAAGGGTTTGCAGGAGAAGCCAGACAAGATGGAAGATGAAGACTGGGAGGAGATGCAATTGCAAGCGGCCGCAACCATACGGCTGTGTGTCTCAGATCAGGTCATGTTTCATGTCATGGATTTAACCAAACTAAAGGAAATATGGGACAAGCTGGCCACTCAGTACATGTCCAGGACATTGACCACCAAGTTATACAAAAGTTGTATGGGCTGAAGATGCAGGAGGGGTCAGATCTCATGGAGCACTTGAACGTCTTCAATCAATTGGTTGTTGATCTTGCACATAGAAAGATAACTGTTGATGATGAAGACAAGGCAATAATTCTTTTATGCTCTTTACCACCATCCTATGTGCATGTGGTTACTACACTGACATATGGCAAGGAAACCATCAAGATTGAGGATATTACTGCAGCGTTGCTTGCTCAGGAACAGAGGAGGAAGAACAATGCAGTGGAAGCACCTCAAGCTGAAGGTTTGCTGGTCAGTGGAGAGCCTAGCAGGGGGAAGGTGGAGGCTAAGAGCAAGAGAAAGAAGAAGGTGCATTGTTTCAAGTGCGGAGATTGGGGACATGTCAAGAAGGAGTGTCCAGGAAAGAAGGAGGCAAGCGCTAATGTTGCAGCATCAGTGGGTGACTCAGACAATGACAGTAATGTTCTCTAGTCGGTTGAGAGGATGGCAACGGCTCTACAAGTTGCAAGGGTGCAGTGCTGCAGGTGGAGTCATTGGGATGGAGTTGCATGGTAGCAAGGTTTCCTAAGGCGGCGTGTTTGAAGCCAAGTCAAACTCGTCAGGCTGCTCTTCGTGAAGCGGTGAAGTCGACAACTCAAGTCCGGAGTATATGGTTGTTCGTGTATGGCAAAACTTCAAGGTGGCGAAATATTCGCCAAGGTGGAGATTGTGATAAATGTGTCGAATATTTATTTATACTAATTGGGGTTACAGTAGACTTGTGTTGTAATTAGCAGATAAGGTTAGGTGAGCTAGGTATTGGCTTTTGTAACTCGGCCCCTCTGTAAAAAGAGGAGGGGGCTGCACTTGTAACCGAACTAAGTCACGAGAGTGAGAGGCAACATAGAGGACAGGCTCGCGGGGGTGCTGGCGATTTTGGCCGGCGCCCCGGGCGGCCGGTGTCGCGGTTTCGGGGAGGAGCGCCCGTAGGCATGTCTCGGGACGTAGGCTTTGGCTGAACCTCGTTACCAAACATGCAGTGTGTGCAATCTCTCGTGAGCGTCTCACCTAGGTATATCCAAGCAATCGCTTCCGCATTAGGCGCCGATATCACAACACACAACAGTATCTCTATCTCCCTTGCCAGAACATTCATTTGCACAGGCGGCAGATATGGCTGCAGAATAGGCATCTCAACACCTCTGCAACAGCCAAGTAACATGAACAATTTCATCCTAGCTCTGCTAAGTGTGCGACAATCCTGCAAAACAATTTCCTCAGACAAATATAGTGGCTGCTGTAACCATGTACGACTGACCATTTTGCTCTTGCTATCTAGAAGGCAGTATTCCAAAAGTAGTGGACTGGGGACTGGCTTCGTTGGAGCATGTCATAGCATCAAATACTTTTGCAGCCATCATGACAGGTAGGTACGCAACCTCTTGCTTGGCACTGTCTGGCGTCAAACACCTGGAACGTGTGACAGTCTGGTAGTCGATGGTGGCGGTGGGGATGATCCGAGCAACTGCCTGGCAAGGAGTGGACTCCAAAGAAACCGTTGACAGTGCCGAGGATGTTGCCGCAGACACCAGAACGCGAGTGGCATTGTAGGAACCTGGCATCGAACACTTCGTGTGCGCCATCAGAGAAAGCTCGGTTACAGCAACAGGGTTGGTGATGGTTCCTTCTGGTGGTAGCGTAGAGGCTGAGGAAGCCAATGAGGATGTTGTGGTCATGGTTGCCAGCTTGCCGGAGGCCGATCTGGTGAGGTAATGGTCGGTCCGTCGGTGGCAGCGGCCAACGTGGATGCGGATTTCTCCACCCGCTGCACCGTGGCCAGGCACTCACGAACCACCTCGTGTGTCTTCCGCTTGCATTCCAAAGCAACCGAGAGCATAGGTAGCTGCTCGTCTGTCACCATGGCTATTATTGCTTGTGGTGGGGATTAAATGACTCTGATATAAGCGACGGGAGCATCTGGGTAAAATGGAGGTGGTATACTAGAGGAAGAAGAAAAGAAGAAGAGGTTGAGGTGGTATACTCTTGTGGGGAATATTTTCTGCTGCTGTACATTCTGTTGCCTTTGCAATTGATGGTGATATGTCAACAGGTTCTTAGATAGGATTACATGGATTTTTCGTGGGAAAGTGGGAACTAAACTACTCCAAAACTATCAGTTGTTCATTCTTTACTATGTACACATCTGGTTCAACAGGCCTACAAAGAGAGCATAGCATTATACATTATTCTTAAGAAGAAGAGGTAATGATGAATCCATCGAAAGGTATGGTACCTTCTAAACCGAATTAATCGGAAATACCAAGAACTACAAACAGCAGCCACCGTGAAACATTTTTCCATTCAGACTCGTCCTATTACTTGCATCTGCATTCCTTGCTTGTTTACAACTCTTTGACAATGCACTTCTCACATTCTGCACCATGCCCTCTCCAGACCTCAGCTGCATGTGTTGTCTGTCAGCCTAGGAAAATAATCGAAATTGCTAGTATCAGTCAGTTTGCAAGCTCTCCCTCTCCGAGGTGATCCCTGCCATGCGGAGGAAGGTTCATCTCCATCCATGCTCCAGCTGCTGAAGCTGTCGGTGTGTTTCTAAGACTGAACAATTTCAATTGAATCCAGATAAATCCATATCATCTACTCCTCTCAACACTTTTGCAGAGGCACCCGGGGATCGGATTTGAGTAGAAGTATTCCTCCTGCCTTGGACTTGCACCACGCAATCTCTCATACGGACCTCCGAGTCTATTCTCATGGTGCTTCCACACCACAATCTGGAACTCACTCCAGGACATAGAACCTTCATCCAGCTTGTCAATAAGCTCCACAAACTTCAGCCTACAAACAAAAGAAAATGTTTCATCAGGTTCTAGAATCTCCAACGTCGTCTTTGAAGCGTGTAGATTTCGCGAGATTGCGGGAACAAGCAAATTTCTGCATTCCAAACTATTTCTGGGGGGAAAAAAAGGCCGGACCTGTCAGGGTTTATGGTTTTTCTGAAGCCTTCAAATCTCCTGTGCCCTTGCACGGCCCTTGCCATGTTGCCGTCGTACGTGTACACGAACACATCGCTCTGCAGGGCCACGATGTAGTCCACGGCGGCGAGCCTGTTCTGGTACAGTTCCAGCGGCTCCAGCTCGTCCACAGTGGCGAGGCTGTAGTGCGTGTAGATGTTGGGGTACTCGGCCTTGAGCGCGTCCAGGCTGTACGCCCCGTAGATCTCGCCGGCCACGATGTAGATCTTGGTGGTGGAGGGGTACCCCATGGCCTTGAGGAACACGGCCGCCTCGCGGGGCGTCATGGGGCACCCGCCCTGCAGCCGCTTCTCCTCGCTGTTGATATCCTTCTCCTTCCAGTGCCGCACCTTGAACCGCATGTCCGTCAACTCCGCTGCCTCCCACAGCGTCAGGTTGTGGTTGCACCCGGTGAAGGCCAGCATGTCCTTCTCGTATCTGACGATTAATGGAAGTTCATTCATTGATTGATCTGCAGATAATGATCTCTTCCATGGATGGAAATTAAAGAACTCATGATCAGCCGATCACTGAACGTACCTCAAGTGAAGCGCGATGTAGTGCTCGGACCCATTCCTCAGCCGATCAACCAGAGTGTTGCCGAGCTCTTCGATCTCCTTCCTGTACTGGAGCGCCTTGTAATTCGCGCGGCACCGGAGTTTTTGCAGAGAAGGAGTGAGGCCGTTGTTCACGATCCGCGAATCCGTGTGCGTAAACCTCACCACTTTGAACTTCCTCAGGATTTTAGAAAAGTCTCTGTAGAAGGAAGCCTGGAAAACGGAGCTGACGATCCATCAGCCTATTCAGTATTCAGTTATTCTTACTCATCACACGCCTGAAATTTTCTCTAAGCTGCTGCAATGCAATCCAGTAGAACCAACAAGTTGTTGACTCGTACCCTGGACCAGGAGGTGGGTGCTCTCACGTACGGCTTCACCCTTCTGTAATCTGGTGGGAGGGAATCCACGATCACAATGTCTTCCTTCAGCGACTCCTTGAAGTGATCGACGTCGAATATGTCTTTGAAATCGCTATATATATATCGTCAAAAATACTAATCGTCAGTCTGACTACTACTTGTAGTTTCTTCTCCAGGTTGATTCAGAGCAGCTAGATAGAGTTACTGACCTTGGGTCAGTCCAGAATGACTGATGATCCAGAGTAGGGATCACCAGCGATGCGTTCATGATCTTCGCCACTGCAACCATATCACTTATCTGTAAGAATAATTGTGAATGAATTAATGAGAGTTAGCTGAAAGACATTGCCATGACATTAGTACAAATATATACATACTCCCATTCTCATCTGGTTCAGGCCACCGTTTGCATCGACAATCAGGTAACCGACAGTTGCATTGTTTTTCCCTGAAGTAAGCATGTCCTGATTAAGGAAAATGTAGCTGAATCTGAATCTGAAAGGAAACAAAGCAAAAGATGGACCAGAGGAAATTACTGCGGTGATTCTTCGGCCGTTCAATGCACTGGCTGTAACCCTCACTGTCTGGTTTCATCCATATCTCAGGTATCTGTCCGTGTTCGAAAGGGAACATCAGTACATCAAGCATATCTAGTTCTTATTATAACATAAAGTGAAGTCAAGGTGAGCATGGCATGGAATCTGAATGAATGCCTTGCTTTTATGAATCGTGCATGTGAATTTTTGGCTGAATATGAACACTAGATAGCTTTCTGGCGGACTCTGGCAGGGTACCAAAACTTTCCTGAACTGAAGCTTGTTGTCCCTACCAAATTAAGTCACCACTTTACAAGAGTATTGCAAAGCCACACCTTCGGGCCTCATTGGATTTTAATTCATCTTTCCACGATGATGTTATGTATAATATTGCAAATTCTGATTTCCCAAAATTATCAGCACGCTGAATTTTTAAGGATGCTGTGATAGCGGTTTAACATGGCAAAATAACAAATTCCACAAAACTTTTAGTGGAAGGTTAGGAATAATTCTTTTCTTAAAATAAGAAATTAAATGGAGTTGGCTAAAATATCTGTTACTTATCCGCTTAACCCTTCTTTGTTTTCTTACTTGAAAGTTTGACAATTACAATGGAAAGCAACCTCGATGACACCAACCCAATGCGCTCTAAACATTTCTTTTTTCAGGTACAACTGGACCTCAATAGCTAAAAAAACGACCAGATGTGAAGAAATATATATCTCGCATGTAATGACGGTGAAATACAGCAAAGAACATGAAAACCATTTTCAAGAAAACACAAAAGCACAGAGATAAACAGCTGCCTTGCTCCTGAACTCTGGAACTCACGTCATGTACCGCGTGTTCTTGTGGTTCCCGTGACTCACGCTAGCAACAAATACTGGTGGAATGAATCGCTGTCCTTATCACCAATCATTTTCTCCCATATGAATACTCCATACCGCGACGAGCAGTGATCCAAAAGCTCCTCTCTTTTCAGAGAATGGAGAATGGAAGAAACGTCTCCCTTTATCATTTCTCTCAAGCTGTCAAGCAGTTGTGCTTTCTGTTTAGATTTTACCATGTTTCACATTGCGAGATTTACCATGTTTCACATTTCTCGCAAAAATTAAACACTTTGGACCACGTTTTCTTGAATTACCAATTTTTATAGGCAATTTTGACTTGGAATGGCTGTTTCATGCCCCCCCCCCCCACCCCCACCCCCACAAAAACAAAAACTTTTGGGCACTCATCTTTTTCGTATTTCTGGTTTTAGGCCAATTTTGACTTATTGGGATGCCTGAAGCTGATTTCAACAGCGACGAATTATGATACTCCGTACGTCCCAAAATGGGAACCATGAAACTCCGACGAACCAGCGAATCAAAGTCCGAATTTGATTATTTTCGGTGCACAAATGGAGCATGTAATGCATCAATTAATGGCCACTTTTCAAATTTCGAGTACGTGCACGAGTGGTTATTGCCCAAAGAGAAAACGGGTGCGCGCGTACAAGTTGACATGGCTTGATGCATGATCGCTGTAATAAAACTAGTCGGCGGGCGGCGAGCGAGCGATCAACGGCACACAGCGAGGGAGGTGCGCACGTACTCACCGGCGGCTCAGGCGAGCGGCGCGCGAGGGCCGTCAAGTTCTCCTCCGTCCACTCCATGACGTCGGCGTCGGCGGCCACCTCCACCCTGTGCAAGAGCCTGCCGCCGCCGCCCCGGTGCGAGCCCAGGAACCCGATGACCGCGACGAGGCCGAGGAGGCAGAGCACGATGCCCCTCATCCAGGCCGTCCGCCCGGGCGGCGCCGCGCCTGCTGCCGCGACGGCCCACGCCGCTCGTTTCCTCCGCGACAACAGCAGCGCCCTGGCGGCGGCGCCGGCGCCGTGCCCGTGGAGGCCGCCGCACTCGGCGTCGTCGTGCTCGCAGGCGTGGTGGAGGAAGTCGTGGTCGGCGCCGCCTCCGCCGGTGCCGCAGCAGGAGCAGGAGCAGGAGGAGTCGTCGTCGCGCTCGATGTCGTTGGGCTGGCGCCTGCGGTGCGGGCCGGGGCTGGTGGTGGTGGACGAGGAAGAGCAGGTGGTGGTTGCCGAGGACGTCGTCGTCGAGGCCGCGGCCATGGAACCGTGTGCGTCCCGGGCTCGCTTAACCGCGCGGGCGCGCCCGTCGCTAGGCGCGTCAGGCTAAGAATAGGAACCCCGCGGCGGGAGACTGGAGGCAAGGTAAGGTTAGTGAGTGAAGGGGAGAAAAGGCCGGGAAATAGCAACTGAAACCGGTGGTGGTTTGGTTCGCGATCGCACTGCCCTGCCCGCTCGGAATCTGTCTCAGCACAGTCTGCCTGCCCTTGGCAACCGCCGCGCCCGCGCGGAGGTGTCTGCACTCCGAAGTCGCCCGAGGCCCAGCCCCGCCCGCGGCGACGCTGTGCGATCGCGTCGGATCGTCGTACTGGCAGGGCAGGCAGCGCTCGCGTCGTCACACTTCGTCGGGATTCAGGAACGTAGCGACCGCGCAAGGGGGGGATCCGATCCGTCGGTTGTTGTTAGGCCTGCGCGGACAGTGCGGCGCTCCGTATGCGAGTCGGCGTCGGCGTGAGTTCGTGACTGCCTCGCCGCACGGCGCGTGCGTTCTGGCTTCCATCATGTCATTCGTGTACGACACGGATACGAAAAAGGATCGACATGATGTGGTCGCTCGATCGGGACAACGGACGGACCCGATCGACCACCACGGCCCGGGCGTTCTGCCGGAACAAGAGCTAAGCAGCTGGAGCTGGAGTATAGGCAGCTGGTGCTGGTCCCTCGATCGATCGGATGACTCGGACAAGCACCTTTACGTACGGGAAGCGACTCCCGAGTGTGGAGATCGAACTCCTATTGCGTTTGTCCGAAACACAAAAACGAACTGTAGAAAGTTTCCATGTGACCTGTATCCGTTTATGCTTGTGTGAACTTACACTGTCTAGCTCAGCCCCTTTCGCCGCGGTCGCGATCGACCAGTGTTGGGGCAGTTATTACCAAGACTGGGGGATGCTTGTGCTGCTTCACTCGAGATCCGCCCCGACCGGGTGGAAACAGAAAAGAGGTTAGGCGCACCACGTGGTTTCGGAAGCACACAAGTAGGCAAGGCGGGTTGGGCCGGTTGGCAACTTGGCAAGGCTCATTTGTTCCGCACCGTGTACCGTTGCACGACGACGAAGGGTCGATGATATAAGACAAGAGGGAGTTGTGCTTATGCCCATGGATTCGTCAGGCTGCGACAAATCCGGTGCTGAACCTGAACATGGCCGGCCTCTCTGAAATGTTCCGCAAAAGTTTATATATATCATCCTCACGCACGGAATAAACGCTAGTGCACGAGCTTCAATTAATCCGCGGCATGGACACGTAACACGTACGTACGATCGCCATGGGCCACGCACTTGATTCGTGAACCCAGCTAGTGATGCTCTACATATGAGAGGCTTCCTTTTTGTCACCTGTTGATCACAAGGAAAAGGACAATGCAAGCTACTGAAGTTAGGTTCGATCGTGCCAATGGACCACGGCGTGGAGCTTAGCTACTTGACAAGACTGCGTACGTGTTTCCCATTGCTATAGCTCTAGCTCCTGATGGGCGCCGCGCTTCGTACTGCGTACGCGCAAGAGACACCCAATAATGCAAACGGGCTGATAAAGAAGGAAACCGAGACAAGCTTGCGGTTCGCGTGTGGACGAGGACGGCCATGGATGGCTGCTGCTCGGTTGAAGTTGAGCCAAGCACGCCGCGAGCACGACACGAGGTATAATATCCTCTCGTCTGCGTTCCACGCGCCGAGCCATGGAATTCTTACGCTGCTGACCCGTCGCGAGTGGCAGTATCCGGCATATTCACTGGGCTCGCCGTCACGTACGGCGCCGCCGCCGCTATCTTTGTTCTGTCTGATCCATCCAACTCGAACCGCTCCAGCTCATCGACCGGTGCCAGATGCCCGACAAAAAGTGATGTCGGAATATTATGCGAGTTGCAAAATTAAATTTCAAAAATATAAATATGCGGTAACATACGCGCATACTTAGCATGCTAGTTTTAAAACTTATTATATATGTAAATAAACAAACAAAATAATTCATGACACAATATTACCTTTGAGCAAGATCGGTACCAGTAGCGCCGACATCGTTGTTACTTGGTCCGATCAAGCCTTGTCGATGTCAATCTTAGTTGATGTAGTGGAGCAACTTGGTGCAAAGATGATTCATGCATCAGACGATATAGGATGAACTAACACAACACCGAGAAGGGGAAAAAAATCTATGGATTAATTAGGTTTAATAGATTTGTCTCGTGAATTAGCCACAACTTATACAATTAGTTTTATAACTAACTCATGTTTAGTCCTACTAGTTGGCATATAAACATCGGATGTGACAGGTACTAAAGTTTAGTCCTGGAATTCAGACACCCCCTAATTATTATCATGGAGATTCCTAACCCTAGAGGCTCTCCTTTAATATAGTTTTTTACAGCTTTTCTACGAGGCTTGGTCCATATGTATATGCAGAAAAAAATCAATCTTCATATGTTAACTTACAATATGGTACTAACTTATATAGCACGTTCCACCTTCCATCAACTAGGCGGCTACAAGAGAACACAAGCTAAATGAGCCTTTTAGCCTTTAGGATTCATTAGAATTTGTACATATTAAATGCGTGTGTGCCTACCCTATATAAAATCTAACGAGTGATCGAATCATATTTGCAAAAAATAACATTTTTCAAAAGCCGATTATTTAGCATGGAGTAGAATCAATCTCAGTGACTCGTGTTCACATATGACAATGGCATGGTTTCCCGCGGTGTGGGGCCACAGCCCCCGCAGCTTCATTGATTCAGGGAGGTTGGCGTTAGAGGCAGAGTACTGGTATATGGACCTGAAATCTTGCATTAATAGCGCCAACTCGATCTCGATGGACAGTCGAGTGGGAAGTCGGACACATAGTAAGGGCCTGTTTGAAGGGGCTCCAATGGCTTTGGCTTTGTGTATTGTAGCAGTACTGTGTAAGAGCCACTGGAGCCCCAAGTCCGTGGCTCCTCCGGCTCCTCCCCCTGCGCGTTGATTTTTGCGGGAGATGGAGCTGTCCGGCTCCTTGCCTGACCAGTGCAGGGCTGCACAGTGCAGCAAGGCAGGGAGACGGAGCCGGTGCCGAACACTGCCTAATTGATCATCGTACGAAGTATTAAGTTCTGGTCTTATTAGTATTATATAAATGTAATTATATATTTAGTATTATAATGCAAAAGGTTGTTGAAGACATGCTTAGAAGATGCATGCACGTGTTTTCTAGCAAAATTTTGTAGGAGGGACACAGAAATAAGCATCTATATATTTGGAACATACGATATCTGAAACATAGTAATGAGAAAAGTGTAGAACTTTTGTTGCACGTCGCCTATAATCCTACATGAATTGAAAATACATGGAGGTTTCTAATAGAGCGTTTGAATAAAGCAGAGGAAAAACTACATGAATTAGAAGAGAGATATACACAAAGAAAAAATTTCAAGAGGTTGGATCCTCCAAAATTCCTACGGATTGAGCCATTTCATAAGAATTTTGTAGGAATTCAGGATGGTTAATCCTGTGTTTCAAAGGATCATAAAGACAAAATTCCTATAAACTTACGATCCTACAAAATTTCTCTATGAATTCTATGTTTCAAAGAGGTCTTAGCGTCCCGATCATAATTTTTCATACTAAGCATGTGCTATACAGCCACAGTCGCATGGAATCTTTTATTAAAGCCTAAATGCTGTGATACCTACTCCCAAATGGAGAAACTGGTGAGGTGGCGGGTTCTGGGTCTGGTCAAGGCTAGAGTACCGTGGGGGTCGCTCTCTGTCGGGCCACAGGTCGGTTTCCGGCCACACAGGTCGCGTGCCGCAGCTAAAGCAGGGCACGACGCAAACTGCATCTCTGGTTCTCTCATTTTTTTCTGCAGTTTATTATGCCCTGATAGCTGATACACACCCACCACCCTTCGTGAGAAAGAAAGCAAATGAAAAATACACGCTCGCCAGGAAAGACCCACTTTGCCTAGTGTGCAATGCACCACGGCTTACTCTGGGCGTCTAGCCTCTCAAACAAGATTATCGATTAATCACGTTGCTCCTAAACAAAATGGACCCTGGAAGTAGCAGTTGGTGTGGTGCCTTACTCGTGTCATGCAGAGATGTAATGGACCCTGGAAGTAGCAGTTGGTGTGGTGCCTTACTCGTGTCATGCAGAGATGTGCCATACACTAATCTGACAAAAATGACTTTGAACTTCACCTTTTTTTTATGAAAGACTTTGAACTTCACCCTTTACTTTACAGGCTCAAACGTAGTCTATATACAGTGTGTATTCGGTTTTACGAGGAAAAAGATACAGTAGTCTAGTAGGTGGATGTCAAAAGGAAATAACGACATGTTCATTTGGCTGTGTTTGTTCGTTGCTGGATCGTGAAGAAGTACTACTGCTGGCTGGTTTGGTGTGAGAGAAAAATACTGTTCCGGCTGGAAATTTACGATCGTTTAATCCCAGCCGAACAGGCTATACCACTGTACGAGGCATCTCGGGCGCTCGGGGACTAGCAAAACCCATGGTCCCCGTCTAATACGACGGAGACTCTTGGAAATTTTTTTTCTCAGATGATGGAGATTTATTGTAACGCCCTAGGCCCGGCACGAGCCCACTCAACCGAGGGGTGGGCTCCACCTACGTAACAACCCGCTTGTGTTTTCGTCCTCGCTTTACGTAAAACGATTGACTGAAGGTTACTATGTGTCCTTGTCTGGATATTTAAGTCGGTCTAACCGTCCTAGGATTCACAGTTTGGGACAAAACTCCTGGTTGTGCAGTGTTTCGCGATTTGCTGCAACAGTAACCCAAAATTGGCCTGGCCCAATTCGCTGCTACAGTCGTCTCACCCACAACCTACACGTGCAGCCACAGTGTCTCGACCCAACCGGAATTTGACCCGTTTAGGCGGGATGTTACATTTATGGACGGAGGAAGTATTTTCTAATAATACGGCTTTCGCAGAGCCACGTACCAGAGGTGAAGGGTAGAAAAGCTCTTCGATGTGTTTGCGTCAACCGTGTTCGCTTGATCACGTCAGGTGAGTGCGAAAGGAATGATCACGCAGAAGAGCATTAGCGGATCGACGAGGATCTCATCTCATCTCATACATGCCCCCCTGATGTTGACATCTGCTCATCACATTACTCTGAGCTCAGAGTCAGACTGGTCCTGGGCAACGAATTGATGTCACTTGCCATGCATTTAGCATCACTGGCCCCATTTGGCTTGCTAAAAAAACTTGGCTGAATTGACTGAAAACACTGTTCTGGCTGAATTGTTGTGAGAGAAAAAATCTTATTTCGATGAAAAAATAAGCTAAATAGCGCGGATTATAAGGTAAGCCAAACGGGGCTACTGAAGCGCGCATCAGTGGAGCATCAACACGGCGGCTGGCGCCTAATAATAATTCAGTGAGCTTAACTGCCAGCGAGAAAGACACCACCACTGACGAGTACTAGTCCACTGTCCAGCAAACTCTTCGTCGACGCGGGCTTTTCCTGGCCCCAGCTGGATCGTGCGCGCGTCCGGTCTCCCGTCCATACTCCACACGCGTCAGTTCGCGTAGAATGGTGAGGAACCGGCCAATGCAATCTTGTGATCCGCGCCCCTGCCATCCATGATTGGCATGGTATGAGTGATGAGGTGATTTCAGCAGGACTCATGCCACTATGCAGCAGCATGCACCAGCCAGGACGCCATGCCGGATGATGCCTTTCCAGTTTCCGCGCGCGCTCAGCTGGAGATGCCGAGGCGAGGCATGGACTGTCTGAACCGAAAGGTTGCATACATGTTTTCCGTCGTTAGAGACCACTTGGTGTTAGTACGCACGGCACGACCGCGACATGCATCCCACGGCCCACGGCATTTCGCCAGCCAGCCAACTGCAAACATGCATGATTTGAGCGGAGCACGGAGCGTCTAGGTTTTGGCCGGCTACTGAGCGTCTAGGTTCCCGTCTCTGACTTGTCACTGGGTGTTGCTATCAGAGCACAGCGACGTTCATTCTGGAATGATGGATCAGGGGTTGAATAGCCAGTTTAATTCCTGATGGGTACTAATGGAGTGGAGGTGTCGTGTAGAGGGCGAAGCCCAGTAGTGGCCCGTGGATGCGGATGCACCAAAAATCGAAAACAAGTTATTACCATCAGATTTCGGCCCTATATGCACCCCCCTTGGGCCAAAATGCTGAACCCCCGCAGCTCAGCTTAGAGCAAACAACCCAATTAACTTGAGCCCATCGCAGGAAGATGAACCACGCAGCGCGTCTACTCCGCTGGTTTCCCTCGAGGCTCGCGTCCGTCGCGACGGTCTTTCTTCCCGTCCGTGGGCAATGCGACTCTGAAATTCTGAATCGTTGATCGGCAATCGCCATTGGCCGTCGCCGTGCCCAGGCTTTGGAGCACGCCTGCCGTCTGCGCCTTTGCAATCCGGGCATCCGCGAGCTCCGGCCGCTCCCTCTTGCCGGTTCTGGTCGCTGAGTGGTGAGTGCCTGAGTTTGCAACATTGCTGTTTGCTGAAGTTCAAAAAGCTCAAAGCTGCTGTCTCCTGTCTGGCCGGTCTACAGACTATAATCCAGTGTTCAGGCATCAAGGATTCAATCTTTCAAGGTACGTAAGTACAACTCCGTCACTACGAAGTAGTATTTTAGGTCTGTAGCTGTAGTCTTGTAGATATTTGCCTCTATTTCTTTCTCAAGTTATTTACTAGACAGTGTACTAATGACAGATTAATCAATGGAAAGATTGGAGGAGGGCCAAGAAGGTTTATTCCAGAGTGGTTCAATGAGTTTGAAAGTTGGCTTGAATACAGTGAATCTAAAGATAGAGCATATTGTTTTTTGTTTCCTATTTAGAAAAAAGAAGGATGATGGATATAAAGCTTTTGTTAAAAATGGTTGGAATGGTTTTCATAGAAAACAAAGGCTCAAAGATCATGTGGGTGATGTTGGTGGCACACACTATCTAGCAATGAAGAAGTGTGATGATTTGTTACAAACAAGACAACATATTAATGTGGCTTTCCGTGGTGTAAATGAAAGTGCTAAGAGGGACTATATTACTCGATTGAATGGGTCTATTGATGTTGCTAGAATATTAGCAAATCAAGGCTTGCCTTTCCGAGGCCACGATGAGTAGAAGGATTCTTTAAATAGAGGAAATTTCAGGAAATTTCGTGATTTTGCAGCGGATCAAAATCCAGTCTTAAGAAACGCAACAAGTAAAGGAAAATCAGAAAATAGTCTTTTGGTTTCTCCTGAAATACAAAGGGATATTGTGCATTGTTTTGCAAAGGAGGTGCTACAGGCTATTCTAGAAGAAATTGGGAATGATGTTTTTTGCTTGCTAGTTGATGAGTCAAGAGATGTTTCTTGGAAAGAACAAATAGCTATGGTCTTGAGATATGTAGATAAATGTGGAATTGTGAAAGAGAGATTTGTTGGACTTGTTCATGTGAGTGAAACAACTTCAGCCCATCTCAAGTCTTCTATTGATGCACTATTTGCTGAAGTTAACTTAAGTTTAAAGCAAGTTAGAGGCCAAGGATATGATGGTGCTAGCAATATGAGAGGTGAGTTCAATGGCTTGCAATCATTGATCATGAGAGAAAATAGTTCAGCATATTATGTTCATTGTTTTGCTCACCAACTCAAATTAGTCCTTGTGGCTATTGTGAGAAAGCATAAAAGGGTTAGTGATTTTTTACCAAGGTTTCCATGTTACTAAATGTTGTTGGTGGATCATCTAAGAGAAGGGAAATGATTAGAGATGTTAACCTTAAAGAAATGAGTAAGGCACTTGGGTGTGGGCAACTTCAAACTGGGACAGGGTTAAATCGAGAGCAAAGTATTCAAAGACCTGGAGATACTCGTTGGAGTTCTCATTATAAATCTCTCAAGAGTTTAGTTGACATGTTTTCTACAAATAGTCAAGGTACTAGAAATTGTGGAAAATGATAAAAAGGAATGGAAAATTAGAGATCAAGGATCAAATCTTCTAGAGTATTTCCAGTCTTTTGACTCCGTCTTCTATTTGCATCTCATGTTAACTATATTAGGAATCACAAATACCTTGTCATTAGCACTGCAGCGGAAGGATCATGACATAGTGAATGGTATTAAATGTGTGAGAGCCACTAGACGCCAATTGGATGAGCTTAGAAGAGAAAAGTGGGAAAAACTATTAGTTGACGTGTATGGATTTTGTGAGAAGAATGACATTTCTAAATTGGAAATGGAAGATGAATATATTGATCCAAAGAAGAGGAGGCACAAATCTGGAATTACAAACAAGCATTACTATCAAGTAGATTGTTTCAATGATATTATTGATTGGTTACTTCAAGAGCTTGACAGCCGCTTCAATGAGACAAGCTCTCAATTGCTTGTATGCTCGGCCTCTTTGAGTCCAAGAGACTCATTTTGTAATTTTAATGTGGACAATTTGTTGAGCCTAGCAAAGCTCTATCCACATGATTTTGATTCTGGGGATTTGAGGGACCTTAACAACCAACTTGGCCTCTACACATTTGATGTGAGAGATGGTGATAGGTTCTCCAACATACAAACTGTTGCCGAGCTTTCTCAGAAAATGGTGAAGACTAGAAAACATGATCGTTATCCACTGGTTTATCGACTTCTGAAGCTTGTATTAGTACTGCCAGTTGCTACTGCTACAGTTGAGAGGATTTTCTCGAGCATGAAGATTGTGAAAACGAATTTGCGCAACCGCATCGGTGATCAATTTATGAGTGACTGTCTTATTTGCTATGTGGAGAAAGAAGAAATGATGAAAATCACGAATGAGTCCGTGATTCGTCGCTTCATGAAAATGCAAGAACGCAGATTTGATCACAATTAAAGGTAACATAATGTATTTTGCCTATCTTAATAGTTTTGACCATGCTAATAGTATTTATATTGCTATTTTTTTTGTTACTTCTTTATAGTCGCACCCCCCTCTCTAGCTTGGCCACTATGTAGACATGACATACAACCGTCCTGGTTGCTACCTTGCACCTACCGGCATCTTCACATGTACACAGAGGAGTATGTGATCCATTTTATGCCATGGGCTAATGTCTTGTAGACATGACATATATCTGTCATCTGTGCTGGTTTGAACTTGGTACCAACTGGCATCTTCAGACGTCTTTGCGCAGGTGATACAATCAAGTATTGTTCTCATGAATAGTACAGGTTACAGGTGGCTTAGTGAATCTCTGAACCGTGAGGTTACCGTAATGCCATCAAGCGTCCTTGTTTCCTTAATTCCTTTGAATCATAAGCGCTACCAAACAGTCACGTAAAGTGTCAGCTTCAGCATAAATGCATAATTCTAGTTCGTTGGTTTCATACAGTTTTACGGTACGCCTAACCCCGGACGTTTGGCGCCAGGACACGTTCGGACGCTCCGGCACCCGCGTACGGAAACCGCGCCAGCAAGCGTGCGCGCGTCCCCATCTGCAGCCTATCTCCTCCACACCCCATCCCGCCACTGCGCTGCCATCTCAGGCGCGCTCCCTCTGCAAGCCCCCCACCGCAGACCTGTGCAGCGCCACGCTCGTTTTGCGCTGCACGTGGGGCACGCACTGCCCGAGCGACAAGAGGGTAAGGGGAGGGCGCGCGCGCCTCCGATTCGGAAGGACCTGGCCGCGGTGTCGTATGGATGCCCTACCGGCTCCGGGAGAGACGATGCAGGAGAAGGTGGGGAGGAGAGATGCAACACCCGATCTACTTTTCAAACATCCAAATACAATAGTTACAACATACGTTTGAAGGCAGTTGAAACAATTAAAATATGCTTCTGAAACACTTGAAAAAAACACCTAAAACACAATTGAAAACCATTGCAACCATACGCAACATCCAAATAAAACATATGCAATGTATGTGTGAAACATATGCAACATCTAGATAAACACACTTGCAGCATGCGTCCTGAAAAACACAGATGAAACATATCTCTAGAAACATTTGTAACACTTGAAACATACGCTTGCAACATGCCTCTGAAAACATCTGAAACACTCAGAAACATACGCTTGCAACATGCCTCCGAAAACAATTGCAACATATGCAATATCCACTTTTGCAACATCCATATGATTCAACTGCAACATACCTCTGAAACGTCTATTGAAACATACAATTGCAACATAAAGGGAGAGAGAGAGAGAGCCTGGCGTGGGGAGCGCCATGGTCGCCAGATCTACGGGCATTGGGGGCTCCCGATGGGAGAGGATGCCGGTGTGGGGGGAGGGGCGCTGCCAAGGTGGGGAAGGAGGACGCCGAGTGGGGGAAGGAGCCGCTGGGGTGGGGAAGGAGGACGGCGAGGTGGGTGAAGGAGCTGCCGGTGTGGGGGAAGGAGCCGCCAGGGTGGGGAAGGAGGACGCCGGGGTGGGTGAGGGCGCCGCCGCCGGCCAGGGAGGGAGCCGACGGCGCACACGATGGAGAGGAGCGGGCCGCTGCCGGCCATGGACGGAGCGAGCGATGCACGGGATGGAGGGAATGGAAAGGACCGACCGCACGCGATGGAGAGGAGCGGAGTCAGCTGGAAGGAAGAGAAACGCATCGTTCATTTTTATAGATGGGCCTTGACGGGGAGCAGACCGGGTAGCTCCGCAGGCCCACAGAGACGCATCCGGACAGACGGACGCCCTCGCCAGATCATTATCGTTCCACAAATGACAAATTTATAGTGCCCGAGCGGAAGCAGAGGGAGTGCCGCCCATTCGAGGTCGAGGTGGTTTGGATGGTGCATGCTCTCCCAAGTGCCCAACCAAGAGTCCAAGACCCCAAGTCCATGCCACGACATGGGCCCGGTTCGCCGATGGCCTTGCCGCCGGAATCCCATGGGTAGCCTTGGCGATGATGCCTCGCACACCGTACAAGGCCTCTTTTTGGGAGAAAAAAAATCCTTTGTTATTTTTTTCTCCCTGAGCCCAACTGAACCGTGCACGTTTCATATAGGAGTAGCGGCGAATAATCGTCATCCTGATTCAAAAATAAAAATTTGGGGACAAGTTTTGTGTATAATATGAAGTATAAATGAGTCCTTTCCTGCAAACATACCTTTTTAGGGAAACAAAAATAATTTTATTTTGGAGGTCCTGCAAAAATACATTGGCCGTTCTATACGGATACGGATTGTACGATCGCGACCGTGATGGGCTGGGTTTAAAACTTTTCGTTGTTCTTTGGGCTCAGCCCATATTGCGGTCTTACGGACCACAGACCATTTTGATTAAAGCCTCTCTTTTTTCTTTTAGAGCAACTCCAACAGTTTGGCTAAAATTACTAGCCAAATTTTATAGTTTAGTTATTTTGTAAAATAGAAAACTTTTCAAAAAAGAAGAGGTCTGCAGCAGCCTTGCTATTTCTCATCTTCAGATAGCTAGCGTCCATGGTTGGCTTTATATGGCCACCTAAAATCAACCAGCTTTCTATTTTACAAAATCAGCTAGCATATCTATTGGAGCCTACTTTTTGCTATACAAATTCTAAAATAGCCTCCAAAACAATAATAGCCGAGCTGTTGGAGTTGCTCTTAGCCTTGCTCTAGCTGTAGCGGCTCCGCAGAAGGATTTTTTTTTCTCGAAATGAACCGGCAGGAGAGCTACCCGCTATATTAAAAAGAAGAGATCGCCAGACAGGCATGGTACAACCCTAGCCAAATTGGCTATGTACATCCGCAACACGACAAACCAAGCACTCTACCGCTAGTAAAAAATGGGAGGGACACCTCCAAAAGAAGACGGATCAAAACTAGGGAAGTGGTTGCTGGATGAATGTAGAGAGGTGCTTCGCTCCTGCCAAGATCCACAGCCTCGCCTCGTCTTTGATTTTCTGAAGTACCAAAAAATTTGTGGACTCTGTGCGCTCAAAAACTCGCATTTCTTTCTTTCCAGATTTCCTAGCAAACTAGTATGATGAGCGATCATAGGCCTTTCCTACTCGTACCCGGCGCATTTGACATCACCATCCACCACTTCTCAAGCGTCTCACTAGGTGGCCATGCACTTGGGTGTAAGTTGGAGTTTTGAGTCCAGGTGACGATTTCCTTCCAGAGGCGCTTCGTGAATCTGCAATCCCTGAAAAGGTGCAGGCCTGTCTCCGCATGAAGCCGACATAGTATGCAGGTTCCTTGATTCGGCCACCTCTAAGCTTCTAATCTGTCGGCGGTCCAAACTCGGTTCTGAATCACAAGCCAACTGAAGAATTTACATTTAGACGGTGCCCAAGGTTTCCAGATGAGTGCTTCAAAGTTGTTGTTGGTTGCGCCAATAAACTGGGCATGGTAAGCAGATGATGTTGTGTATTCGTCATTTTCCTCAAATTTCCAAGCAAGGTTATCTCGCATGCCCGTTCTTAGAATTATGCGCCTGGTTTCTTGCCATAGATGTGTGTACTCAGCTAAGTGTTGGGTAGAGAAACTCTGATGCTGCAGGTTGATGTCGCGGATCTAGTTATTATCAATGAGGGCCTGACGCAGAGTTTTGTTTTTCCTTCTGGAAATGGAGAAGAGTTGCGGTGCTACGTCACATGGCCGCTTGGCCGTCTAGCCATGCACTTGTCCAGAGAGGACGCTCTTTTCCGGTCTCCAATTGTCAGTGTTGTGGATGCCGTAAAAGGAATTTGTCGGTCGTATTACATGGGGTTTCATCCCTAAGTCTGCCATCAGTACTTGCTGATCATTGTCGCCACAGCCATCGCAACCTTAGGGCCCTTGCAAATTTCCCTAGGTGGAGGATGCCCAAGCCTCCAGAGCATTTGGGTCTAGCCGACCTCGGCCAATTGACCTTGCACTTTCCTCCCGTTAGCGTCTCAGCGCCTTCTCATAGGATTTTTTTCCTCTGCCGATCGATGTCCTTGATTATCTCTTTTGAGCACGAAGGGATGTGAGGAAGTAGACTGCTTGCGAGATAAGGACTGCTTTAATGAAAGTCAAGCGACCTGCTGGGTTAATTTGGCGTCCGTTCCAAAGAGTGAGCTTGCCGACCGCTTTGTCTACCAGAGGCCGGAAATCCACACGCTTTAGGCGTTGATTTTTTTTAATTTATATGCATTTTACGTTTTTAATTACACATGTTATAATGTTATATCTGAAGTCATAGCACAGTGACTCGAAAATCCAACCACAGAATTTCATATTCCAATTTCCACAATTCTGAAAATGTTTTGGTTGATCCTTGTTTTCCTCTCTGTGATTTACAAGTTGCCATGTCCTGCTATGGCTTTGGCTCGCACTCGCAACCTCGCGAGCTCGAGAACCATCCGTCGCGCAGCGTCGCCATCAAAGTCACGAGTTTTGGGCGACAGCTGCGGCGGATCCCCATCTGGATAACCTAATCCATCCACCACCTCATCGCTTTCGCAATCAAACGCCACCATCACGGCACGTCGGCGTCGCCAGCTGCCCTGCCGTGGGTCCCCACGCTGTCAGTCGCACCGCAAAACCGCCCTCCGCGTCCCCGTCCCCGGCCCCGGCCCGAAACAGCGCGTGTCGCCCGCCCATAGACAGCGTCGTCGGCCTGGTGCCGTAGTTTGGTTCGCCACCGGATCACCAACCCACACCCTGCCTCTTCGACCGAGCCAGAGCCAGAGCCAGAGCCGAGAGCCGAGGAGGGAAACGAAGAGGCCGCCATGGCGACGACGCGGCCGGCGCGCAGCGACCCGCACCTGCCACCCGAGGAGGCGGCGCGGGTGGAGGCCGACGTTCGGGGCTACTTCGACAGCGTCGCGCCGAGGCGACCGGCCAAGCCGCCGCGCAGCGACCCGTCAGTGGACACCTGCGCGGAGCCCGCCGCCGTCGATGCCGGGGACCACGACTTGCCGGAGCTCCGCAAGCTGCGCGACCTCGAGGCGAAGCCCCAGGTCAGAGACTCAGAGCTCTGCCTCTTTTTTTTTTCCCCACCTTCCTAGCACAGTAGCACTGGAGTTTTTGCTTCGTGTTTGACTGTGGAAATCGATCGGTCGGAGTGAGCGTGATGCCTTGTCGTGTGTAGAAACTGGTGTTGGACGGAGGAGCAGGGGATGTGGACGGCGAGGAGGAGTATGTGGAGACGCGGTACTACGATGGACTCATAGGCATCGACAAGCAGCATCACACGGTAAGCTTTGAATATACCTGTGTGTGCACTCTTCAAGGAAAAAGTTGTCTACAAAATTTACAAATAGTTGATGTGTCATGCTGCTGTGATAGGATTTGTGGCTAATATATGCCACTTTTGTTTCTCTCCTTGTTATTCATAATATTTTTTTGAGGAATTGTTATTCATAATATTGATGTTGTAATTTCGAATTTATAGGCATATGCAAAATGGCAGAACTTTTTTTTCCATTATCTTAAGAAAAAGATACGCCATGCTGCTGTTATCAGGAAGCCGCCAGTAAGTTGGCCAAGTTTGTAGGTGCTGTTTAAGGATTTGTGTAAGTTATAATTCTATGTTATTCTGGATCCTTCTGAGGGTAATCAATCCATGTTAATTACATCTGCTGTCTAGTGTGTGAGAGCTTTTGAACTCTTGATTGCAATCCTCCAATCATAACTGCTTCCAAGAATTAAGTGTTTGTTCACACAAGAGCGCCTTGATCAACATCGATCATAGAATTTTCACTGAAAAAAGATTTAATATTTTTGAATTTGCTTGCAGAAATGAGCGCGGTAGCCAGAGAACCAAGAGTAAACTACCATTTTACTAGTTTTCCAGTCCTCTTTTAGCACGCTTGCTACTAGAGTCAGTATCTGTTTCCTTGAAAAGTGCTATGGATTAGGTTGCCAAATGAATCTGGAAATCAGGTTATCTTTAACATGTTCATTCCAAATTATAGTTCACTTTGGCTTTGTCCAATGTCTTAAGTCAAACTTCTCTGACTTTGACTAAGTTTTAAGAAAAATGTGTTAACATCTACAAATTCAAATAAATGCACTATCAAAACATCTTTTTTCAAGGAAAATTTAATGAAACAAATTTGATGTTATAGATGTTGGTGCATTTTTGTATGAAGTCGTTCGAGATTAGAGAAGTTTGACTTAGGACAAAGCCAAAGTGAACTAGAATTTAGAATGCATGGAGTGTGTGTTAATCGCAAAATTTGATGGGTTCTGAAGATTGCTTTTGAAATTAATAACACGAGCATGGCTAGTATTTCGTTGCCAGAAGAGTTTCAGAATAGGAGTGCAAAGAACATTTTCTTAATGTTAAATGCAGTATGTGAAACCGAGAAGCTGTATAGTAAGCCAATGGTCGAACCTTGAGTCTCCACATTGGTTATTTCTGATATGCATGGGTAACATGGTTTTACTAATGAGGAAGATAATTAATTTTGGAACCTTAGAACTGTAGGTTACTAGTTATCAACGTGTTTGTTCAATTGTTCCTCAACACCTATTTTTCCAATAGTGATAAGGACAACAGTTGCATTCTCCTATCTTTAGCATAGTCAGACTTGCTTTATGCATTAGTGTGGTATTAGTGGAATGACATATGTGACACATATCAGCGTTTGGTCATCAATTTCTTTATGGCTTAAGTTCTAGTACTAGTATGGTTTTAGGGGGAACTGAGATAACGAAATGATACAGCTGCTTGCATATCGGGGAAAAGAAATTACAGCTGCTTGCGTATCGGGAAAAGAAATTACAGCTGCTTGCATAGAGGAACTTTGATAACGAAATGAGCATTAGGTACTTACTATGAACTCAGAGGTTTCGATATCTTGGCCTTTCTTGGTGCTTGGTATTACCAGACCAAGAGTAATATGCATGATTTTTTTTTCCTGTCTTGGCAGTTCTAGACAGTCCTAACGAGGACAATTTAGTCTTGCATTCTAATTTAGTATCATTTCGTCACAGTTTGCCCTCTGTAGCATCGTTCTGGGGATATGTTCAACTCAGTTACACTTGTTTGCAGACTGGTACAGGCTTTATCAAAGTGGAGAGACCCAATGGTAGCGTCTTCAGCGTGACGACTAACGGGTACTCATCTGCCAGCCTTGTCCGCTGCACGAGCAATCCTGCAACAAATGATTGGATACCATCTTCTGACACGGTATGGCTACCAACCAAAACATCAGCGAGCAGGTCAGCAACAAGCTACATCTTGTGATTTCTAACTGTCCTTTTCATTTTGCAGGTCATCCCTGCTTCGAACAAGCCCAGCAGGAGCGACTCCTGACCGGACTTTCCTCCTTCAAGTGCTGTGAATTGCTTATCTATCTTTTCAAAGATAATAAAATGCACTGCTTCTGTGTGATAGACTGATAGTAGTGTAGTGGAGGACGGGCAGAGGTCGAGACTCGACACTCTAGAGGTACTGGCAGGAAATCATATTGCCGGGCGCACATGTTTGAGACGAGATGTGACTATTTGAACGAAGAATGTGTACCGGTGCCTTGCTGTACCTGTACACTACTGTTTTGAGTGTTGACAATGAACTACAGACGCTGAATGAATGTGACTATGTGAGTAGTTTGGTACTTTGATTGATGGCCAGGTGTGCGGTGTGCCCCGTCCTGATATGAATCTTTGTGCAAGATGATGCGTCTGTGTAATATAGGATCAGTTGGCTCCTGGCAAGAGGGCCTAGTGCGGGCCGGCCAGTCCCACCAGAATCGTCGTCGATTGAGCCTTCGACCGCCAGGCCCATCCACATTCTATCAGACTACGAGCATGAAATGGCCCGTTCAACAGCCATCAGCTTCTAGGTTACAGCTCCTAGGATGGCTTAATGGGCACATTACTTTGGATGCCTGTGCCCACAAAAAATATCAAAACCAATTAATCGTAATGGAACTTTGTGCAAAGTTTCCATGTGATGATATGAGTATCTCTTATAATACGCCAAACATCCTTCCAATTGAAATGGAAAATGTTTACCGGAAAAAAATTATACATCCAGAATGAGCCTAATAAAAAGCATAATCCCAAGGCGGATACTTGACATGTTCTCCCTCGCCCAAGTTCGTCGCAAGGGAAACGAAAGCCAAGATTTTTTTTATTAGACAAGAATTGCGAGCAAATAAAACACCACATTCTTACAATTGCTCAAGATATCCTCTTTTAGCTACTAGGTATATTTGTTAATTCAAGATCCCATTACTAATTGGAATAAAAGAATAGGAATGGGTGCTAGGGTTATGAATTTATAATCATGTAATCAACTCGGTCATTAGATTATAAGTTCATTCCATATCGGAGCAGAGCTTGCCATTTTGTATTCTCTGGTTTAGAAACTTTTCTATAACCTAAATGATTTAATAATTTATTTATTTTAATTACAATTTTCCCGTTGGATTTCACTCTACCATTGGCGTTGGTATACAACAATCTTGGATGCGTTCCTAACAAGCTAATTTTCACTATCTTTGTTTTTAAGAGAAATAATTGGATTGTTCAATTTTTTTATTTTATTAGTAGTCTTATTGTAGATTTTACATTGTGATGAGTCTTGTTTCGAGGAATGCATTAAGTAACCAATTTTTATTATGATATCTCCTACAACTAAAAAGAACAAAACAAAGACAACCAAATAGTGCGATAATTTTTGGGTCGTCGCTCTGCCTCTCCCTCATACGACCCCGCTGAGTTACCCGCGTGAACCGATTTTTCTTCCCCACCCGGTGTGCGTCATGCGGTTCTCTGCCTCCCTCACCGGTTTTCCCAGTGTCGCGGCCGATTTTACTTCCCACCCACATGGAGGCTCCGTCCGGTGAAAAAGGAAGGGTTTTTTGGATTCATGCCATTATAATTCTCGAAGTTCTGAGATTTGCCATTACTATTCGTCTATCCCAAAGCACGCCATTACAATTTTTGCATATGTTGAAATATGCCACACTCTACACCCGCCGAATGGTTGGGCCCGCTCGCAGGCTTACGTGGCATACACTAGACCGTATCCGTCGTCTTCCGTTCCTCAAGTAAACGGTTCGGTTACCTCCACCGTCTCCTCAGTCTCACTCTCCCGCACTCCCCCTCTCTCTCGCCCTCGCTCGAACCCTAACCCGGCGGTGGTGGTGGCGACGGCGATGGCGGCGGCAGCGAACCCGACGGCGGTGCGGCGCAGCAGGGACCCGACGACGGCGACGCAAGGGGCTCGTGGATATGAGCTCGAGCTCCACCGTTGGTGGCACCAGAAGGGGGCAGGCCCCCCCTACTGGACTGCCCCGATTGCCATGTTCCTCTGATCCGAATCCAGAGCAAGCAACCGAACTCGTTAAACGAGTAGTTCGTGAAGTGCCCCAACAACAAAAAGGTGAGGATTTGCGACATTTTTTGATTTTTTCTGATTTGGTTTTAGTTGAACTGATCTAGGGTTAGCAGGGTGATCCAACAATGTGTGGATGGATCCAGTCTGAGGAACAGTATACGGCCTTTGTGCGATCGGAGGCTCAAAAGCCAGGGAAGCAGATTCAGAAGCAGGTGCCATTTCATGGTGGAGATGACTGGTGATTTGAAGGAACAGCTAGCTGAAGTGAAGCAGAGACTGGACATTGTTGTCAATGAAGTTTGGAAAATGAAGATGCAAACCGGTGTGTGGTCACTTGGTGATGTTCATCTAGGGCAGGACAGTGTCAATGAACCAAGGCAGGATTTGGTCATAGGAAATTGCGAGATTGTGTTGGATATATTTGTTGTTGTAGGTGTGCTTGTTGGTGCACTACTAGGTTTAGTTGTTGCCCAAATGTTTAAGTGACTGTGAATCAGTCTTAATGTAATGAATTGAGAATGAATCAATGGATGGATGGATGTTGCTTGAAGTTATGTGTTTGTTGTCTGACTGTGATGCAATGTGACTTGATTGTAGTCATAATTTGAGCAGCATTATGACTTGATTTTAGGCCGAATTTTAGCAGCATTTTGTAATGATTTTCATTTTAATTTTAGCACCATTTTCACTTGATTTTAGTCAGAATTTTAGCATGACTTTGACTTGATTTTAGTCAAGATTTCAGCAGCATTTTGACATGATTTTGGTAGCATTTCAATGTCCACATTACACATGACAATAGAGTAGCAAGACCATTAGTATAGTAGCAAGTACATTACTTAATATTGTTCATTACCAGCCCCTAGAAGGGCATTACCAGAGTACCAACAACATTTCACAAGCCAACAGTTCACTAACAGCACACACAGAAGGGCATAAGTTCCAGGGTTCAAAAGCTAGCCACAAGCACCACTACTTAATTATTACATTTGACCAAAAGCTGGCCACAAAGTTCAAAAGCAGGCCACAGCAAGCCACACACTGGCTATCATACAAATGCTTTTGACATTCAGTCACTAACTATCGAAAACCAGCTGCCTCATGCTGCTGACAATAGTTGCTGGTGGATCAACTGTAGCCTTCTTCAGCCTCTTCTTGACAGGGGTCTTTTTCTTACAGGGCTCTCCTATTACCTGCCACCCTCTGTAGGAGCATTTGTGGTTCTGTAGGTCCATAGTCTGCCTTTTCTGATTATTCCACTCATCTAGGATGGTGACTTAGCAATGTCATCATCATTAACTTTCACCTTGACCACCTTCAGGTGCTTGCTAATCAGGCTAAGGTCCTTCATCACACCTGGGAGGATATCCTCCCACTGCCTAGCAAGCTTCTTCCTCAAAATACCTCTTCTCCATTATAAGCTCCCTCAACCTATCTACTAGTTCATGTATCAATAAACCTTTGAACTTCTTGACCTATGCATTGAAACTTTCTAACACATTATTGGTCAAGTAATCACACTTGCTGTTCTATGAGAACCCACATCTGTACAATATCCTGTTGTGATGAGTCTCAAGATACTCTATAGTTTCTGGAGCAAACTCAATTATCTTCTTCATGTGCCACTAGAACAGGCCTTGAGTGTAACTTCTAGCAGTAGGGTAGAGGTGGTATGTGAATACATCACCAGAGTAGTGCTTCATAAAGTTGTTATACAAATGTCTCATGCATTCCCTATTTTGTGCTATTGGGAAAACTGCTCCAACTGCTTTCTCTAGCCCTTTGCATGCATCTGAACAGATTACTAGGTTTGGTACATCACCAATTGCTTTGTGTAGTTGCTCCAAGAACCACTTCCAGTTGTCTTCGGTTTCTGAGTCAAAAATGCCATAAGCTACATGATACAACCAATTATGTCCATCTACACTGGTTGTAGATGCCAGCTGCCCTCTGTACCAGTCAGACTAGATGCATCTATACCCAGAAATGGTCTGCATCCAGCAATGAATCCATCAACACAAGGTTTTAGAGCTACAAAAACCCTCTTAAACATGTTCTTCTTACCAATCTTATCAAGCTCTATCTCTACTAGGCTTCTAGGGGACACCTTTTCAATCTGAGCAGCCCAATTGAATAGCAATTGAAAACTTTCCTCATATTTACCATGAATTTGTTCTAATGCTACCTTCATACCTGACCAAGCCTTTGAATACTTCAGTTTGATGCCATAGTCCTTTTCCAACTTATCCTTGCAATCTTTTGGGCCTTTAGTTGGGTTCTTCTTCAACCAATCTCCTAACCTATCTGCACACCAGCCCTGTGTTGCCATCTTGCCTTCTTTGAGTTTTGTAGTTGGACAATTGTGCTCTGCTGGTAATACTTTGATCTACACAGAGACAACAAGTCAGGTAAAGCAAAAAATTACTTAAAATGACTAGAGCACAAGTACATACCTCTATTGTCTTGCCATCATAAATTCTAGATGCATGTATGCGCCGAGGACATCCCTAGGCTTTGCACCTTGCAATAAACCATGTCGGGTCTATTTTTAAACTAGCAAATTCGATGCCTATTTTCATAGCATAGTGCCTGACAGCTTTCCTGGATGCTACAATATCAGGAAATAACTCTCCCTTCATAATCTTAGGGTTTTTTGGGTCATGGATGACATGGATCCCCTCAGGGTCTGCATCATTGACCTCTGCCTCAACATCATGAACATTTTCATCAGCAACAACAGGAGGTGGAGGTGAATATCTATTAGGCTGTGAACTATTTGGTGGCTGTGTAGGTGGTATTGGCATGTACAACCCCTCATCATCATAACCCACATACTCTTCAACATTATCAAACAAGTCTGGCTCCCTATCAGGCTCAAGTTCAGGCTCAACTTCAGCCTCCAAGGGAACCTCTGGTGCATCAGCTGGCTTAGCTTTAGTCTGGCTAGCATTACTGTCGGCAGGATTTGG